AGGAATATTTGCTCATTTTCAGATTAATTGATAATGAAAACAGTTTTTAGTTGGAGCCAACAGATGTAAACAATCCATAAGAGACTAGATAATAATTAATAAATCATGTTAGTGACATGCTGACTCTATAAGTAAAACTATAAGTAAAGAAAAAAAAATTCAGTCTGATGGGTAAAAAGAAACTTTCAAAAGAGAGCTGATGAACACATCCCTGTTAAAGTAACAAACACCATAGCGGTGATGAATTAAAATGTGAATTATTGCAAAATTACTTGGCATGAGAGAGAGTTTGTTGGACTGGAGAGCTTCAGTACATACTCTAATTTCAATAATCCTCCATTAGGGTTTGTTACACTCACTCAAAACACGCTGAGCATGACAAACAGTTCGACTTCTGCTTCCTTAAATCTGAATAATTTGCCACTGATTTCCATGAGATCAAAAGAAAACACGGAGCAATATGACTGCAGGGGTATGACAGGAAGGAAATGACTAACATTACTTCCAGCCTGTGGAGGAGAGGTGGATTGATGCATTCACTCACTAATCACTATATTGCTGGGAGGATATAGCAGAACATTATTTTTTTCCATTACCCAAACAGTGTAATAAAACAAATCAGATAATAAATTAAGAGTTTATTGCACAGGTTCAAGTTAACACATTTTCAGCCCTAGGGAGCGAATACATTCCAGGATAGCAACAAATTGGCAACAGTCAACAATCATTTACAGTATGTACTTGATGAATATGTCTTCGCTTTAGGTTTCTGGCTATTTACAAACTTTTTTCTCGTGTGGATGTGTCACCGCCGCCGTATGTTGTTGCTCGCAGCGCGGTCGTCTAAAGTGCGTGGGACTGTGAGTGTTGGACTCAGAGGGTGTTACAGTATGGTGTGGATCACCGATGACTCGCCTGGTGAATATGGACAGATTGTGTTGTGTTAACACCCACACACAAACACACATGCACTCCCACAGGCTCATTCTGCTGCGATGAGTCTCCCATGGGATTTTAATATAATCAGTGTTTACGAGCCTATCTATCTATCTATCTATCTATCTATCTATCTATCTATCTATCTATCTATCTATCTATCTATCTATCTATCTATCTATCTATCTATCTATCTATCTATCTATCCATCCATCCATCCATCCATCCATCCATCCATCCATCCATCCATGTTAAATCCTAGTTCTTGCTTTTCTTTTGCATATCTGGCTTTCCCTCTACGCTCCACCCTTGCCAGAAAAAAAGCAAAACCTCCCAGATACGTTTTCAACACACGGACCCAAATCAGAATGAATGCCTGCTGCTGTTCAGGGTTTATTTGTCTCTCTATTTGTGTCTAAATAAGCTTAATCTCATAATGGGGAGAGCGCAGGTCCAGGCCCGAGCCATGCATCATACAAATGAGAGAGGGAACTGATGGAAGGAAATACAGTATAAAATCAATGGCCCTGTGAGTGTATGTGTTTGTTTTTGTCTGTGCATTTGAGACTGTGCATTTGAGATGACGTCTGATTTGAGGTAAATAAAAAGGCAACAGTGAACATGGTGCACCGATATAATGTATAGCACTGATTTATTTAAGTGGGCCACAAGAAAGAAAACATACTGCTGCTGCTGCTGCTGCTGCTGCTGCTGCCGCCGTGTGCACGACATGACTTGTGCTTTTTTTTTTTTTTTTCTTGGTGCCTAAGGTGAATAAGTGTTAAGCTTCAGATGACGCCTCCCATCACTTCCATTGTCAGGGTGACATGTTAAACAAGAGGTATGACAGCACACGGTTTGATCCATGAGTTACTGCCAAAACATTTCTCACTCTTCGTTTCTCGTGGCAAATAACAAAAAGGAGAAGTCGTGTAATTGGAAGTAATGTCAATCACATGTATGCTCAGTTCATGGTGCATGTGAAGAAACATGTGTAGGAGTGTTCTATCTTTAGGTGTGTGCCAGTCCCACGGTGGCTGGTTTGTTTTTGTGTTGACCTGCTGGAATGTTTTTCCAAGTCTGTTTTCCTTTAGACTCGACATGCCTTGACCTGCTGTCTGGCTACACTTTGACTTAGGCATTTCATCTCAGTGTGTATGTATGTGTGTGTGCGTGTGTGTGGGTGTGCGTGTGCGTGTGTGTGGGTGTGTGTCACAGCTGTCTGGACGTAGGCTACCGTCCCGTGGTCTGTGTTTGCTGAATGTTCGACTCATGCAGCAGGACGGGACTTCACAAGGCACACACACACACACACACACACACACACACACACACACACACACACACACACACACACACACACACACACACACACATTTGGTTTTACGGTTAGTGACAGTGCTTTACTGGGAAGTCTTAGTCACTGCAGGAGTGTGCTTTGCATGCACCAACCAGCCTGTGTTTGAAATATAACACCATTTAACACAATGCCTCACTTATTGTTGGTACCGGATGGTTGTATAATATGAACATCTGTTAGTGGCAAGACTGTAGAAGGGTTTAA